GTGAGGGGGAAGTGTTAGAAACAGGTAATTCCAGATTGAAGAGAATGGCTAAGTGGTCAGAGAGGCCTAGATCAAGGGGGGAGCAGTGGGAGACAAAGGAGTCATTTGCAATAATTAGATCTAAGGTGTGTCCTTTGTTATGTGTAGGGGTACAAACAAACTGAGCAAGGTCAAAGCATCCTAACATTTAATTATCACAGGAAAATAATGGAACTTCTGATGTTCTTATAAAATGTAACTTTGGAAAATGAATGCACATGCAACTATTAATAATGCTAATTCAATAAGTAAGTTTCACTTTATTTAATAAATTTTGACCAAGAAAAAAAGTGAAGAAATAGAATTTCTCTAGCTCAGACAAACCCTGTAAGAAGTAATCCTCAGTTTTAACCTGCCTGGGCAAAAGGGAGATACCTGGTCATACAAATACTGTAAGCTATCTAACTCCTGAAATGAGGTGAACAAAGGGGTTTATTTCAGCAGTAACAGATAATTGATAGAAAAATTCCATGCGGAAAAAAAGAAGAAAGAAAACACAACGTTTTGGCTGTGGAGCCCTCTTCAGGTGTGAAGCCAAAACGTTATGTTTTCTTTCTTCTCTTTTCATCATGGAATAAACCTATTACTTGTTCCTTTGCAACCTATGCATGCTGACGCAGCTACCCACCTGAACTACATTGACAGAAAAATGCAGGCCTTTCTTCCAGTTAAAAAGTTCTCTTTAGGGTTTGATCACTTGTAAAGTTGTGTTGCGCTTACGAGGCACCAGTTCTGTAGGGTTTGGGCATTTACGGGGACAATTATTAATTGTAGCTGTAAATCACAAAATGATTCTTTGAATGGCTTTAGAATCCAACCTTGCGATATAACTCAAACAACGCACACACACAGGTACTAATACACAAGAAATACATTTATTAATGCATAAAATATGCATATAAACCTAACAGATCTTATCAAGATGGCTATCAGAATACAAAAGGTACTGTATATATTCAATCAGTCACAAAGAGTTACATATATCAAGAGGACATACGTTCAGTATATCATTCATTTAGACCGTTTCGTAAATGAACTTTGTTATAACTTCTACATTGGATACTCAAAACAAGTACATAACTCTTAGGAATTAAATTGATATCAACTGGTTGGGATAACAATTGAGTTCTCGAGCAGTAATGCAGTGAAGTTGAATACTAATCCAATCTCTGGGGATTCAGATCTCCTGCAGGCACAAAGAAACAGTTGAAGGCTTGTTGCTGTCCAATCCGCGCTCTCTGGCTCCGTGCCAGGCTGTGCTGTGCAGTATGCGACGGTGTGCTGCTGATGCTCTCTGAAGACCGGCAAGTTAGTTTTGGCTTTAACTAGCGAAGTTTGTGCACAGGAGAAAAGATGACTGTGGGTCCCAGCAGGTCAGGAAGAGGACCAGTTCGTTCCTGATGAAGCGCTAGTTCTGAATAGTGATTCAGCTGTCCACAGTTCCGACCTGTTCACGAGGCTTGCTGCTGATGCTAACCTCGGGTGGATCCTCTAGTTACTCTCTGGCAACCTCCGCTCTAGACTCTTAGAACAGAGGAAAGTTCTGGCACTTGGACACACTGGCTGTTCCGTGGTTGTCCGGGCTGAGTCTCAGGATGGTTAGGAGGCGTGCTGCGAGAAAATCCTGCCCTTGGGAGCCTTTCTGCTCCTGGGCCGTCCTGCCTTGGAATTCTTTAGAATAGTCTCGCACCCCTGGAATTCTCCTTTGAGATTCTCCTACAGGCTCTCTGTGTTGCCCGTTTTTACCTTAAGGAACTTCAGCTCGTTCATTGGCTGAAAGTTTCATGGGCATCAGAGACCCACGTGGGTTACTCAGCCCTACCAGTCCCTGATTGGTTGATCAAGGTGAGATATGAGTCACTTACTCCTGACACTTAGGAATGCAGTCCAGATGTCCATCTGGCACTCCCTAGACAGATAGGCGCCAATGGATGACCATTGATCATGATAGCCAGGCTTAGCTAAGTGCATCCCCATTTAGGAGCTGTCCCTTATCAAAAGAAAACATCTTTAAATCAGCCTCCATGAATAGCTTCTCTGTGGCTGCACCACAGAGTTGAAGAGAGAGATGGGGCCTCGTTTGGGAAAGCACAGCAACACTTAATTCTGTCTTATTAATAAGCCTCACCACTACAGTTCATTTAGGAGACTTAAATAATATTCAGTTATAATATTTACTTTAGTAATGTTGAAAAATTCGTTCTTGGGTACTAATGAAATGTACTGTAGAGTAGGAAAGTGCAGTACAAAAGAGTGAACTGATGTTCAATGTCCAGATACCCACACACACAGAAATGCACACAGCATAAATATAAACCTTGACATTTTTTGTTCTTTGAAAAGCTGGTCAAAATGTATTTGACTTTTAATTTTATATTATTTGAAATCAGAACTCTTTCCTTTCATTTAAAGTGGTTGCATATACTGTACTTGCATATACATTCAGCAAGCACCAAAAGTAATCACAAACTAGCCAAATGCAAAAACAAAACCTTTTTTTTCTTTTCTTTCACAAACAGGGGCTTTCTTGCATTTGTAAAGGTGTTCTTTGAGATTAAACTGTAGTCCATTTTACAACAAAACAAGTAAAATGTTCAGTCATTTTCTGAGAACTCTCAGAAGAAGAAACTCTTAGTTGTCACTTTACTGAGGTGTGTGCTTTTTATCATTTTGTAAAGGGCATATTAACTGTTCAGGAAAGTTTGAATGTCTACAAATCTAACATTATTATTGAGAAATGTGTAATATAATGTTCTCATGCCAAGGAATTCAATATATCACACATAATTGATTATTAATTACTTTTTCCCCTCCTGTATTTTATCTGACATTTCATACTAGCTGAAAAATTATGACATGACTGTTTTTGCAGAATCCATCAGATGTAATTTGTTTGATTTTATATTTTACATTTTTCAAAAGTTTATATCAAAACTTTTAGGTTTGGATAAGGGGAAAAAGCCTCTAGCTTTTGTAGGCTACAGTACTGTATATGTGTGGATGAGTGTTTATCCACTTTAGCAGCCAAAAACAATTTACTGCATTTTCTATTAATTGGCTTCATTACTCTGCTCTCCTCCCCACTGATAGCTGATGTGTGTTGAGTGTTCTGGCGCATTATGGCTGCTGTCGCATCATCCAGGTGGTTGTAGAGGGGAGTCCCCATTACCTGTAAAGAGCTTTGAGCGTAGTGTCCAGAAAAGCGCTACATACTGTAAGTGTAAGCAATTATTATTATTATTATTATTAATAGTGTATTTTTATATTTCTAAATCATGAATACTACTCAAATAAACAAGAGAGCATATAGTATTATTAAAACACACAAAACAAAAAAAGCAGAATAAGTAATTATACTTAAGTATTTAAGTGTTACTAAGACAAAACTTACACTATTGTTTATGTCACTCCATGCCTATTTGTTTTTTAGTCATGAAATATTGCGTTCTTCGATTAATTATTGTGTTCATCTAACTTCTACAATAAATTAGAATAAACAGCCACATTTTACAGAAAGAAACATAATCTTAGCCCAGTCCCAGATGGCAGAGCAAGCGCACCATAATGAATGTGAATTATAGCCCAGGGGGAAAAGAGTGAGGACAGAAGGCTCACACTATTTAAAGACTCATGGAACAGGACAGCTCTAGACGAAAAGGGTGTTCAATTTCTCACTGAGCTGCTGTCTCAGGGCTGCTGTATTAGCAGGGGTACAGCCAGTCCAAGGTAAAGGACTTGCAATCCATGCCCCCCGCTCATCTGAGCTACATTATTAATAATTATTTTTAAAATCATGGCACATTTCTATGTTTCTAATTATTAACACCTTCAGATTGCTAATAAACCAATATATACAAACAAAAACCTATTTACCTGTTACCCAGAAGGCTACTGTATGTTCATTAGTTTTTGTGAAGCGTGTTCTTGTAGATGTATCCTGTGTATTTGTCTCCTTCTTTAATAGACATGGACAGAAATTTGACATGTAAACTGTTTTAAAATTTGAACTGCAGAAACAATACACAATAGGATCCAGCAAACAGTCTATGTAGGAAAGACATGTAATACCATCATTGACCTGGGCAGCGATTTTTTCTATGTAATGTAAGTTCTTAATTCTTACAACCAACAGAACAAGTCTAGAGGTGGTGCATGGCAGAAAGCAGACTCCGAAAACCACCACTACCAGGATTACCAAAAACACAGCTCTCCGAATCTTCACCTTCTTCCCTATGCTCCTCTGACTCAGCTTCTGGATGATTTTTACTGCACAGAAAATCAAAACAAGGAAGGGGATGAGAATCTGGGTGAAAAACACTATCTCACGCAAAACATCCATAAAATGTTCTTCACCATGATCAATGATATTACAGCACTCAAATGTCCTCAACATTGTGGGTATAGTCAGCGGCAGCAGGGATACCCAGATGAACACCGATATGTGTGGTTTCCGTCTCGCAAGCTTCAGATAGTTTTTTTTATGGGGATGAACCACATTCAAGTAGCGATCTACAGAAACAGCTGTCAAAAAAGCAATGCTTGCTCCACGGTTTAGAAATAGCATGAAAAGCATTGCTTTGCAGGTGGTTTCATTAACACTGCAACGATATCCATGTTGGTAGTAATACACTTTCACAGGCAAACATGCCAGGAGCAGAATGTCCGCCAAGACGAGGTTGAAGAGGAAGATGGTGTTTGTTTTCCAGAATTTAAATCTGAAGATGAAGATGTACAGCACTGAAAGATTCAGAGGTAGAGCCAGCAGGAACTCCAGAATCATCACAGAAGAATAAAAAGTGTATAGTCCCTGATTGTCAATTGTACAGTTGTCTTCTGTTAGATTATTCCCCATTTATTTTAATTCAGCTGATAACTTTTAAAAGCTTTCTGGAATCTCTTCAGCTTCACCTGCAAAGTGTTGAATAGGTTTATCTTCTGATCTTCAGCAGATTCTGTCAACAATCTGCAAAAACAAGTAACCTTTCAAAGAACACCAAATAACAGCTAGTATAGTTTTTAATGTCTGACACTGGATAAAGCAAAATTACTTAAAATATTTGAATCATTTTAATGCAAGGTGTCTATCAAAAGCAGGAAAATAACTATTATATTCCCGAAGTCACGTCTCAACTACTGTTCCTACCTACTCTCAGGATAGTGAATTGCTCAATGGTTTTAAAGAGATAAAGAGACTGCACAGACATGCTTGCTGCGCTTCCCATGTTCTGAGGCAAGTCACTACAAGCTGTTGTGTTTCATTTCACAAACACAGTAGGTCAGCATGCACGAGGTTTCAGTTCATATACTTCACAATCTTATTTATTTTTGGCAGTTTAAATGTAATCAATCTTTATTTAATATAGCAATTCTTCCAAGTACTTTACATGAATGTTACTTAAATGACAGCTATAGAAATGTGGCAAAGGTAGTAAAAATGCAACTTGAAAAAAGATGATAGAGTAAATCCAAAATTACTTACTCAGTATCTGTCCTCCTTTGTAAGACATATTGGCTTCTTATCAAAAATAAGTATTTTTATAATTATCTGGTGATGGTACAGACAAATATAATAATGAAAGTAATAGTAAATAAAAGTATTATTCCTAACAATTTGGCTAAATTTATTCATAAACATTTATTCTGTATAATTGATTCTGTATTCTTTTTTATAATAAACTTTACAAAACGAATGTACAGCAAATATATATAAATATAGATATAGGAGGAAAACTGTTCTGATTTTTTGGCATTTTACAGTATATAATACTTTTATTCTTTTTGTTAGATTTGTTATACACATTCATTTGGAAATCAGGAAATACAGTGCAAATCAGGTGGTGTGAGTTATTCACATATTTTAAAAAATGTTTTTTACATTTTTTACATCAAAGTTTTGTGAAAGACTGGACAATGTCTTCTTAAAGATATCAAAGAAAGAAAGAAAAAGCAAGATAAAACAAGACTGATCTTGGTAAAAAAAGAGATGGAAGACAAAGAAATGTCAGCAACTCAGGTGGTCAGCTGGCTGTTAGAAATGAAAAAGATTATTATTTAAAAACAAGTTAAAATGAAGGTTGGCCTGGCTGGCACTGCTGCCTTGGGATATTGTCTATGTGGAGTTTCATTCAGTCATCCAGGGTTTAAACCTTCATTATGCTTCTAAGAGGTAATAGTTACTCTGATCCTTTTCTGGAATAAGCTGATAATGGAAAAACAGATTATATTTTGCCAAAATGAGTAAATCTTTTCAGTAGATTCAATATTTTAATTGAAACTTACTTTAAAAGTTCAGATTGCATAGACAGTACCTAAAAGCTTCCTCTGGTATTCTGAAGCTTGTTTAGACTTGAAGTAGTTTGCTGATGACTTGAACGATTTGAGAGTGTTACGACATGAAGAACTACAAAAAACACTGCATGTTTTTGAGACTGTTACAGCATGTTGGAAACTCAAATTAAAAAAAATAGTTTCCTTTGCACATGCATTGACTTAATCTATATAGAAATAATTTGGAGATGCAAATACATCAAATATACTACTGTATATTTATAAAATGTGAAAACAGAATACCTTCACTTTTGATGAGTCACCATCAGATCAAAAGACACTGCTATTGTGTACTTTAGATTTTTGTCCTTCGTATTGTTTTGTGATTTGGTAAAAATTACTGTATGCGTCTCACTGTGGCTAGATGACAGCATGTCAGGAAATCCCTTTTTTATTTTCATTTGATTAATAAACAGTATGTGTAGTATCACATACAATATCAATGTTTGAATTATACAATGTGGGATATTCAATTAAATTCAAAACTTTACTGTCCAATAATTTTCCAGTAAATGCCTTCCTGGATGATAATATAATATACAGTACATGCAAACATCTACTGTATTACTCTCTGGGTTTTACAGTGCATATCTGATAGTGATTTATTAGGTGTAAGCAATGCCTATTTTTGAAATATTTTAAATGTACTGAGTTCTATAAATCCCATACATAGCTCCTACTGGTGAAAGTGAGAGAAAACTGACACTATTTTACAAATGAGCTTAATGCTGATTGTTGATGTGAGGAGCTGCATAGGCACTCATTTTGCAAAGGAAAAAGCAGAGTTTAATTTCAAGTTGAAAAGTAAAAATGTTTATTTTTTTCCAAAACGTTTTTTTCTTTCCTTTTACATTTCTGTGTTGTATTGTAATCAGAGTCAAAACATGGATAAACAAACAAATTATTGTACAAACAATAAAAGTACAATTACAAAACACACAGCATTGAATGTTACTCAATATACTCTACAAAACTATGAGTCTCAGGGGCTGGCTTTCTGCAGACCTAGAAACCCAGGATGCTAGCCCTGTAACCTGAAACACTATGCAACACCTAAACAGAACAAAAACAGAACAAAATTATGAATGCCTATTAGCACCAAAGAGAAAAATATGTTAACGAGATAGTATTGTGTTAAAACTAGATACTTTTTGCTTTTAAATACATTGTTTTTTTAAAGTTAAAACAGATTTAAAAGCTGTTCTGTAAGCTGTTCTTATGTCAGAACTGATGCACTGTATCAGTTTACTGAAAAGGTAAAAAATATCTGGTTGTGTGGATTCAATTTTATATATGTCCCATGTTCTAGATGAGAATATTCCAGAAAAGGATGTAGTCCAGCCCCGAAACCTATCACCTATCAAAGAAGAAAGTGGAGAACAACAAGGGGAAGAGCCCCGCTTGGTCAGTCCCTTTGGGATAAAAAGACGATGCTCTGTTAACCCTGAGGACAGGTATAAGTGCACATACTTTATATTCTATCATCCTGATGATCACTGGTCATAAAACTGGTAGGAAACCAATTATGAGATTAAAGAAAAGAACTAAAGCTAGTTTTACTGTATTAACGTTGAAGAGGCAAGTGTAAGTTCTTGGTTGATTACTTGTCTGATACTTGTAGTTGTAAAATAATACTAAAATGAATACCTTATTTTTTAATGGAATAAATTAATAAAATGTAGTCAAGAAGGAACAAACATTTTCAAAAAGCACTCATGCTTAAGTAAATGTAAACTGTACATATTTTCTTTTTAGGTCTTTGTAAATGAAAATCTTTGTTCAATCAACTGTTGAAAATGTAGTCCATCAACCTACAAGTAAAAACTATTACTTTTGCATGTTCTGAGCACATCATGTTAAAAACATGGAGATAGTTATGGTAAAAATGAAACACTTGCAACAGCAATAGAAATGAATATAGAGAAAAGAGAACATTTTATATAACATTATTTAAAAAACAGTATTCAGGATTTATTCAACTGAAATGATGGGAAGAGGTACAGTACATTTCTTAGAAAAAGAGAACATTTTGAATAGTTTGTAAAAGTCCAAGCCAAATATTCACAGAAAGGTCATATCTGACACAGCCTCTGAAAGCTCCATACAGTATATGCACATTAAACTAGCATGTGTACAAAATTAGAACACATACTGGGTATCATAAATAAAAAAACATAATCGCTATAGAAACTAATTCAAAGTTAAAGCTGATAAATTGGGAAATTAATCTTGTTCTTTAAATATGCTTTGCAGTGTACTATAATAACAATATTAAATTATACAAGTAATAGGTTTATTCCATGCTGGAAAAAGAAGAAAGAGAACACAACGTTTCGGCCGTGGAGCCTTCTTCAGGTGTGCCTATGTGGCGTAGTGGCTACTGATGAATAAAAGTTTTCAGATGTCGACAAAGTTCCAACCGTATGGTTTAATTGAACAAGTGGATGCACGCTGATGCTAGCAGTTCACTATATCCTTGCTGCAGAGTTGACCTTGGGCAGAATTCTTTTTTTACGCACAGGCTTCCTCTGGCTCGGCACTTGGAAAAACTTGCAACCGTGGACCCAGGAATGGCCATACAGTACATCATGACTAGTTGGGCACATTCCCATCCTGGGAACTGTTCCTTATCAGGATGGCAAACATTCCTGAAACAGTTTCACAGCATTAATGGTTTCTCTGTGGCTTAGACCACAGAGATGAGAGAGAGATGGGGCCTCACTGGGAAAAGCACAGCAACACTTAAATCTGTCTTATTAATAAGCATTGCTGCTACATAGATTTACTTAGGTTTATGCGGGAAAAGAGAAATGAAATGATGAATGAAAAAAAAATTCCTTTAAATGCAATATTTTTTTCTCCATGGTGCTAATAACCATCTGTGGATACCTGCAGGTCAGACCTTATTGTACCGTTTTATTATTGTGAGGTTATGATGCTTTTGCTGACACCCACGTCTAAAGGCGGGAATGCAATCTAATACGAGATGCTCTGTGGTTTCTGGAGACTGACAGAGTTCACCAGAAATAAAGGGAAAAAAAGGTGGAGTGAGAAAATTTGGAGAATCAGGATACAGGGCTTGATTCAGGCAGGGAGGATGCCACAGGAAAGTTTTGAGCAGGCCAGGGTCTAGGCAAGTTCTTGTAATTAGAGATTGGGTTTAAGACACAGAAACAAGGTGTTTTTTTAATAGATCTGATTAGTTAGATGATGGGGAACTGGCTTTGTAGAATGATGGGTGAATTGGCAATGCATTGATGAGCGTGTTGGAATTGCAGAAATGCCCAAAAGAATGCTGGATGTTCTCATGACCACCATGGTTTGTGGGCTGCTGCTGATGGGGACATGATAAGTTTACAGTATTTTGAGTACTAGCTCTGATACGGGGGGGGACAAAGACAGAAGACAAATATTTAACATTATTTTGCATTTTATGAGTGGCACTAATTAATTTTACATTTCTAAAATAATTTTCAGTGTTTTTAAAGGTTTCTTTAAAATGGAACCAGAAGTACCAGGAAAAGCATATACTGCACTGTTATTTTTCATTTGGCGAGTGAACCACATATCTGGACTAAAACCTGCATTTTCCAATGTCCCACAAAATTTAAAAAGTTATGTGCATATCCACATATATACATACTATAACTGAACCACAGTATTACCACCGTTCATATACACTGCCTTGATCTACTGTAGATGCAATGATTTACACCACTGTTTTGCAATTGATCATTAAAATTAAATAATTAAGTTTCAGCATTCCTCATCAGTAAACAGCAAAATGCAATAGTAAGAATTTAAGTTATTTTAAATAGTTTATAGCCATTTTGTCTGAAAATTTCCATTAAACCAGCACATTAAAAGTCAGATCCAGTCTCTATTCATGGCATATTATATTTATATAGTGCATGTTATATTTTCAAGACAGATAAGTTTTATTGTCCCCTGAAGGAATTTTTTTGTGTACACACAGCACTTCTATACATTTAAATATAATGCACACACCTCAGAAAAAAAAACATTGGACATCACTCTATTGCACATGTATAACATTACAAAACATATTGCACACAAGTGGACTGTAAAGGTCAAAAATTGTGTTTATCCTTGTCATTTGCATTGACAGCCTTAATGGATAGTTGAACAAAGGAATGTTTGTATCTCTTAGACAAAGAAGACACCCTACCAGCATCTCCATACTGTAACGCTTACAGCCACCATTGAGTGTGAAAGCCGGCTTACCAGAGCGGTGACGTCACCACCCTTCCCTGTAATAGCAGGGCCCACAGCTGCTGGGCTGGGGGGAGATTTCTCTTTAGCTCAACAGGCTGGGTCCCTATTGAGTGACTCCGGAAGCCCTGGCTCACGTCCCCGATAGTGGGGGGCCGACCATAAGCGGCAATGGCAAGGGTGCCTGCCTGAACCCCGAAAGCGTTACATTGGTGTCAAAAGCGGGGTGGAATAGCCCTTCGCCAAGGACAGCGAGTTAAGCGGGGGAGAGTGTAATGCTCACGGCAACCATTGAGTGTGAAAGTCAGCTTACCAGAGTGATGATGTCACCGCCCTTCCCTGTGATAGCAGGACCACATCCGCTGGGCTGGGGGGAGATCTCTCTTTAGCTCAACAGGCTGGGTCCCTGTTGAGTGACGCCGAAGGCCTGGGTTCGCGTCCCCGACGGTGGGGGGCCGATCAGATGTGGCGGCAGCAAGGGTGCCCACCTGTACCCCAGAAGCGTTACATTTTTGTCAGAAGCTGGGTTGGATAGCCCTTCACCAAGGACGGCAAGTTAAGCGGGGGAGAGTGTAATGCTTACGGCCACCATTGAGTGTGAAAACCGGCTTACCGGCTTACCAGAGCGGTGTCGTCACCGCCCTTCCCTGTAATAGCAGAGCCCGTAGCCGCTGGGCTGGGAGGAAGATCTCTCTTTATCTCAACAGGCTGGGTCCCTGTTGAGTGATGCCGGAGGCCTGGGTTCGCGTCCCCGACGGTGGGGGACCGACCATAAGTGGCAATGGCAAAGGCCTGATCCCTGAAGAGTTACAATACTATCATCAGTCCATACATTTACAGTGATAAGTTTGCTGCTCTTAAGAGCTGTCTCGGTAAGCGGGGATGAGGTGAACAATATTGTAATCAGAGTTAGACAGAGGTGGTTCTAATATGGCGGTATAGGCTTGTTTTATATTACCGTAGCATTTGTCTAGAACTCTGTTCTCTCTCATCCCACATTTGATATACTGTTCAAACCCAGACAATCTCCAGTTTACAGTGCTTAAAATCACCCATAATAAACATGGGAGCTTCTGAAGTCCGCTGGAGTTGCTCATGTACACAATCGGTTTTCTGAGAAGTGGCAGCTGCTGCAATTCCACTGGGTGGAACGTAAACAGCACATATAATAATGTTACCGAATTCTCTTGGAAGGTAGAAAAGCTTGAGACTCAGGCACAAAAACTCAGCATTTTTATTTTATTGCAGTCTTCCTCACTGAGTATAATCACATACGGTATGATTATTAGACTAATAAAAACACAGATTAAATTAAGCCGCCATTTAAGTAATTTCTAACACAACACAGGCAAAGCTGCAGTATAATGCTTATGCGGGATTTGATGCTGCATGTGTAAAATACACAGTCACATAACATCAATTTCAAAAACCACTTATCCAATTCATAGTTGCCCAGTCTATCATGGGAAGCATTGAGTGCAAAGTGGTATACACCCTGGATAGGATGCTAGTCCATCACAGGATACACACAGACTATAAAAGGTACACACTTACACAAGGGACAATTTTGCAGAAGTCAATTAACCTACCAATATGTACAGTTTTTCGACTGTGGGAGGAAAACAGAACACTCAGAGGAAACTCATGCAAACATAAGGTTAACCTACAAATTCTATGCAGATAGCACCCCAGAAATTGAACCCAGGGCCCCAGTGCTATGAGGCAACAATGCTAATCATTGTGCTATCATAAAATACAGAGTAAATAATTAATATAATAAAATGATTTGGGTGCTTCCCTGACATGATTGCATAACAAATTACTCACAAATCTCAATAGAAAGAGTGAGATACTGTAGTATGCAGTGGATACCACATGTGCGTGAAAATCAAGACTAAAGTGACAACAAAGTGGTACTGTGGAGTTTTTGTGTCAACATTGGTGGATAATAACAGTAACTAATTCGAATGAATGAAGTCAGAAAATACAAAGTTTTTGCATTTGAGAATCAAGTGACATTCTGAATTTATTTGAGAAAATATATTAACACACGGATCTCAGAATGAAGTTTAAGGGTTCAGTAATACATTTTTAAGATTAGATGATGTTGAATGGGAACCTATTCATTTAAAATATTTTAATATTATTTTTTTCTGCACAATTAGACCCATCAGACCAGGAGTTGGAGTAAGACAGAAAACCTTTGAGGCATTTGTTGAAGAACAGCTCAAATTGGATGAGGAAGTTCTGCAGAGAGATAAGCAGGTACAGGGTAATACAGTATAGGTGTTGATATTTTAAAATAAAAAAATAAAAGCATAAATCAATGAGTTAACAAAATTCGGACTTCTATTTGCTTCAGTATGCCCATATGAATTTTAACACAGTGTAAGGTTTCTGTACCTTTACATGTATTTACACATATAAAGGTTTATACAGTATGTACTTTTCCTGGATCTTGCCATGCCTATATATCTTTACAGACTGAAGAGTTGTCTTACAGAATTGTCTTTTAGACTTATCCTCAGTTCTTCTATTTTGTTCAAGAAAGTTTTGGTTTTGACATGGCTGAACCAAGGTATGCAGGTTTAAGAACAGAATGGTAATCATGACAACATTTTTTAAAAGTCCATTTTATCTCCTTCGTTAACAGGGTTAGATGTCTCCGCTTCCAAACATCCTACTTTTACTGTTGTAGACAATATTGCAATTTCTGTTTATATATAAATAGTTTTCTTTCTGTTATACCACTGAAAAAAAAGGTACTAAAATATTTTTCCTAACCTCCAGAAGCTGTTTCAAACTGTTTGTTTAATAAAATGTCTGCTACACACTTTCACAAGGGATAACAACTTCCAAGAATCAGAGTGTTTGTGAATGTGAATATCTGAGTGTTTTAGGTATGATGGTTTGGCTTAACCTGCTTGGTTAAGGAGCTGCTATAGGACAAGGGGGCTCAAATTCCTTTCAGAGACAGTTAACAAAGGGACAGCTACAAGGTGGAGAAGGGCGGGAGGAGGGATGCATGAGACAAATGCAAAAGAGATTTTTATGTTATTTATGATATTTATGGCTAATTTCAGTAATGATTATGATTAGTGGGAAGACTGATTTGTTGTAGTTTTAAGTTAATGAGTTCCATTTAGTACTGTGAATTTATTTCTTAGAATGTTAGTGATCCATGTATAGCAGAGAAGTGAAATCATAAAGCTGAGCTGTAATATTAAAACAGATGGATGCAAATCTAACCCTTGAGGTATTATTGAAACTGAACCAAACTGTTCTGAGGTCTGTAGATTTAGTGAATTGAAATATTCTCCCTTAAAGTGCATGGAGAAGTGTGATAGAATATGAAATTCTATTTCTAAGTTGTTCAAAGGTCTACAGGATACTGCAAGATTAAAGCCATTTCATTTAAATGGTGAGAATCCAAAAATGAAATGTAGCCAGAAGTTTAAATTGCATAATTAAAAATAATAAAATTCAAATATATCAGATGAAAGCTTCCACTACCATGCTACTTATAAGAGGTTTAATTTTTTAGGAGTTGAAACCAGCCAAAGAGACAGAAAAGAAAACTTTCCTGAAGAAGGGAGAAGGTATAACACGGATAGAAAAAAGCAAGGAAACTGTGCTGAAGGATCAGAGGAGGGGACCCCTAAATCAGGTGCTCAAGCGAGTGAGCTTGGTCAGTCAACACCGAAGATCCCTACCCCTCCTGCAGGACACTGATAAAAGTTGTGAAAGGAAGAGCACTCCTTTGAGTCGACAAGTCAGCAGTCCTGCGTTGATGGAGTCTAGAGACAACATGATTAAGGCTACAAATGAAGATAGTAACCTGGACCAAGAAACTTACTTGGAACAAAATGACAGAAGCAAGCAATCAATCCAAAATACAGCTGGTAGTAATGCAAGTAATAACAAAGGAAATGAGATATTGGGTAAAACTCCATGTAGTAAAACGTCCACGCAATCTAGAAGTTCAAGTCTGCCATGTTTACAAATCTCTTGCAGGATGGACTTGCAGAAGCACATGTGTTTGGCAGAAAATGATGACCATTTAGATACCCCTAAAAAGATCAACTTACCTCAAGAGGAACAACATCCCGAAAGCATCACTTCTGCTTTGAGAGCTCAGTTGATCTGCACAGACCAGCAATATTCAAACAACAACCATCAGGTTGATAAAACAGGATCCAATCTTGGGTTTAAAAAAGTCGATGATCATATTGTAAAGGTTTTTAATGGGCCAGTTCTCTCAAATGACAGTGGTAGTGAAAAAAGTGAAAACCAGGAAAAATCAAAGAAAGGGAGAGAAGTCCAGACCTGCAGTACAAAAATAAAATTTCCTCCCAGCAGCACAAGTGATAGCACCAGCAATGAGGATGATCCCAAATCTCAATTCCATGAACAACACATCCACCAAACTCCACTGAGGCTGGGGCATACTGATCAGAAGCTAGACCTGTCCGATGATGATTATGCCAGCGACGCACCAAGTGGGGCAGAGGAAAGAGTTTGCAGACCCCAAACGCCTCACCGATTACCATTTTCTCATCCATTCTCCAGCACCAGTAGCAGTGACAACAGCGAAACAGAAATAAGGGACTTTAACTGGCATAAGATAACAGCTCCTTCTCCATGTCTCAAATCACCAAGAAAGATGGAGGCTGAGAAGAGAAAGACACCACCATTGTCAAACAACAGCAGGAACCGAAAGACAAATCTATTGACTCCCCCCACTTCAGAGCTTGTATCAAATCTGTTTTCTGGCTTAAAAACTAGAACAAACCATACAGCCCAGAGAAGAGTATCCGATGTATCACAGAGCTCTGAAGACAATCAAGGTGGTAAGTATCTTGTGTTTTCCTAAATGCTTACCACCTGCAATCTGAAGATTGTTCTTTTATTACAAACTTTCTGAGCTTTCTGAACAGCTAAATCACTATACAGTAACATACTGTATGCCATATGTTCATCCATTTCTGTTTTGCATTTCATTTCTAACACGTTAGACAAGACTGTTTCTTAGGATATTGTTTCCATATACAGTAGGTAAGTTTAGTTCTTATAAACATTCCCTATTCTTAAAGGTAATAGACGTTTTCTCACTTTGTTATGATTGGGTATAACGTTAGCAATTCACCAGTCCCTGGGTATTACACTGTCTGAAGATACTGTAGAAAGAGTTGTGTCATTGGCTTCTGAATCACATCTCTTGTTAACATACCAGTGGTACTCAAGGAAACATACGGGGCTTATATTATTCGTAACTGTTTCTACTACCAGAAACACTCTGGTCTCTTATATGTAAGTGCTATTCAATATAGAACTTTTCCCTACACACAAGCGTCACATGCAGCCTCCTTATTCTTACAAGAAGTTATAAGTGCAAGTCAATTGACTAAGCAAGTTATTATTTCTAATTAAAAATGTGGGTTCTTCCCAGTAGATACAGTATTGGTTAGGTTTTCATGAGTTGCCAGTGACACAGTCCCAATTCTTGTTAATCAAGAACCTGTGATATATCTGATTTCATCTACACACAAAACTTTACATTGTATTGCTGATTATCTTACTATTTGATTACTACAAGTAAGACTATTATCTTACTTAAATATCTGGCTCCTAATAACATTATGTGATATTTGCATTATGAATGAGAATATAAATATAGGATACCTGGTGTTTCATACTTAGCCTTAAATTTTTGGTCAGGTGAGGAAATATGTTGTATACTGTATGTTTTCTTGATAGGCATTTTTCTAAATTCCACATCCATAAAACGTTTAAGATATAATTTAACAGATTTTCTAACAGTAACCCTAAGCAGGTAGTTTTTGTAACCCTAGCTTCAATGCTTATTTGTAACTGGATAAAATAATAACCCAAATATATCAGCAAAAGCAATATAAATTCTACATCAACTCATGAAATAAAACAAATAAAACAACAAAAGTTCAGCAAATGTAGTAGGTAAAATCTGAATCTAGGTTTAGGATTAAACTTAAACCCTTGAACCTTAAACCTAGGCTTCTGATAATGTTACATTTGTATTATGAATGGGAATATAAATATAGGATGAGTGGTGTTTTGTACTTAGCTTTTTGGTTGGGTGTTATTGAGGAAATAGTGAATCTTATATGATACTATTTTAGTTCAGCCATTAGGAAATTCAGCTTTCACCCTGGCTGAAGTCAAAATTTAATTTTCTAACCCTAACCAAGCACTTTCTTAACCCTTGATGCTATGCTAATCTGCTTGAAATACAAATCCAAGACATCAACAAAAGTGATAACAATTCTTCATAAACATTTGAGTTAAATATTGGTACTGCAAAAAAAATGCAACTAACGTGTTTTCTGATAAAATGTTTTAAAAATCTACTTGGATATTTTTTAGTATTTTGCTAAGTTATGCTAAAGCTCTGAAAATTGTTCATGTTTCAATACAAACATGCAATTATTTCAATGAATTTATTAAAAAATCTATTTATAAAGTATAGGTTGTATTTAATCTAGTTGAGACATAATTTTTATGAATATGTACAAAACAGCAAATTGCTTAACTGTGAAGCAAAAATAATAGTTTTAACTTTGATGTTCCAATACTTTTGCAGTGCACTGCAGATGACGTGATTTAGTTTAATATATTCCCTTATACTTGCTATTATTACAGACAATGAAACCCAGGCAAGACTTCAGAGACACAGTTTTCTGCATGCAAAGACTGAGACGGATGATAGTTCCGTTCTAAAAAGCATGAAAGAGGAACAGGAGAAAGCATTGAAATTTCTCAGGTAAATTATTTTTTTTAGTTAAACTGAACAGTGACTGCTGATAAAAGTATAACCAAGAGTTTAAAAGACTTGTTTTAAAAATAATTTCAACATTCATAAACTCTGAATTTATTTTTGCACCATTTAATAATGAATGCATTTGAACTAATTTCACAAAACAGAGTGCTGTTCTTTGCTTGAAAAATGAAACAATAAATTTCATAACTGTTATCACAGATATGCTAAAACCCAAAAAGGTGCCCTGTTCTGCCCAGCTTTTCCTTCATATCTGGAAGATTGCCCCCTGTCTTATGGAGAAAGACTGTCTCAATTATCTAATGACAATACCCAGGTTCAGGATTACAGTATTTGGTTTGCACTCACGAGAAATCTCGTCATATCTGAAACTCTGGATCAGAACTTCACTTTTTAGTGAGAGGTAACAGTGAAATGGACCAACTAATTGTTTCATCATTGACACTTTTCCTTTCTCTATGTTGTACTTGTTAATACATATCTACCAAACATCTGCTCCCTCTCTAAACTTTTTAAAAACTATAGTATTGAAAGCAGAGTTGTAATGAATAATATTTAGATGTCTGTTGATATATTGAATTCTTGATATGAAGGTTTTTTATTGAATTTAATTATGTTTATACAGAAAGAAAATGGATGGATTTGTGCAAGAAACAGAAACTGAGCATTGTAGTTTGGGAAACAGCTACAAAGAATGTCCGTCAATGAAAAATCGATTGTCAGCATCTAATCCACATATTGATGAATTACAGGTGAGAACAAAGGAAGTATCTACAAAACTGCAAACAGACCCAACACCAAGAGAATGCTTAGGCATAAAGGAGAGAGGTCATTTAAACAAAAGTTTGCAACATGGCACGCTTTCTTTAATAAATGACATGTAATTGCAGAAAGCAAGACAGTCAGTGTTGGCTGTTTTAGTGTTTCTCAAAATCAGGACCTTAAACAGATACTGTAAACTTTAAAATGGAGTTTATACACAAAAGTTTGGGAGGGATGACAACAGACAAATTCAGTCTAACTTTCTATAATTCAGAATCACTCCTGAATTTTCTCACCTAAAGCATCATAAAGAGTATTGTATATGTTATCCCCTTCTCTCCCTTGCTAAATTCAACTCAGCCAGCAAGATTCCTATGATCTTCTCTGTCACCTGGTGTCAAAGAATTGCCTCTGTGGCCCCTTCCATCTGTCCTCCACACCAGGAACAAATTAATCTTTCCACTCAAATCTCCTCAAGACAATGAATTAACAATTGTTTTGGGCAACCTATCACGCACTCTGTCCTGTCCCTAGTTTCCTGCCTGCTGTCCTTCCGGTCCCTCTCTTTCCCTTGGGCTATATATTTCCGGGTCTTGCACTCCACCCTCGCTCAGCATTGACGTTCGCATGTCCTGAGACCGCCTAGCACCAGGTCGCCCCATGTCCACTATGTAACGGACACGGACTGGAATCCGTGTCAGATATTGTAGAAGACCCTATGCGATGCGGTAAGAGCTGGAGAAAACAGGAGGCGTGGTAAAAAGGAACACACAAGGGTTTAATGGTGCACAAAATCATAGTGACCGTCCGTGAGACAGTGTACGGGGAGGACAAAACGGCATCCAAATCCAAACGGGTCCAAGGGCAGGTCAAAGCACGGTCCGAAAGTCCATAAACTGGAAATCCATCCTGGAACGTGACAAAGTTAAAATCCCCGGAAGGGGGGAGCACACAGACAAACGAAACATGGAGGTCCAAGGGTGACGGGGTGAGATCCTCCAGACCCCGGGCTCAGGAAACGGGAGGTGTCGGGGATGAGGCCTATGCCCTCAGGAGACGGACGTAGGGTTTCCTGGTACTAGGCGGGCCTCGCGACATCTTACCCTAATGATGAGCCCCGAGGACTGGAGGAGCTGGTCTTTAAATATTAACACTAAAAGGGTACACCTGGAGAGCTAAATGACACGAACAATAATGAGAGCAGTGGAGCGCCCTCTAGGGAGGGATGTCGGGCGTGACACACTACCTGAGGGCATAGGTTTCTATACCGCACTCCTGAACTCTTTGCACGAATGAGCCCGGGCCTTTTTCCCGTTCCGCCGCATATGGGTCTTTTTCTGCTCTCCTGCTCTCCACGGTTAGTCCTTTTGGACGTCCGTGACACAACCAACACAATATACAGCAGATATATACTGTAGACAGCAGTAACATGCTGATTAGACGAGTCAACACACCACGAGCAATCTCACCATCAATCTGTCTCATCTCTATTTGGTTCCTGCATTAGGCCTGCACTAATAAGTGATTATCCACAAATAAGTGATGCTTCTTTACTTTCAACAAGTAATTCTCAGGACTGGTACTTTGTTTCAGAGTTATTCAGAGTTCATCTCAAATTAACAAGTCTCTCTTGACACCAAGGCAACCAGTGAAGACACAATAATGACAATGTCATAATTCCTTTATACAGCAATAGCTGTAAAACTAGGAAAATCGCATCCTGCTCACCAGAATTAATCAGCAAATGGTACCTGCATCACTTTAACTTTACCTGCTTATGTGCAGATATCTTTAAGCTGCTGCTGCTGCATCTCGGTCAGTGGATCTCATTCTTGGTTACAGAATTAAAGTCCCAGTCTGTACTGGTCTGTACTGAATTGGTGCCCATACTCAATCATATGCCTACAGTAGCTGCCTGGAGGGAGCATACCTTGGACAAGGACACTCAGAAGTTTATTTCTGCCAGTGAGTTTTTCTTTTCCTCTCCACCATGGCACAGATGTCATATTCCTAAACTGTCAACAGCTCAATACATTTGTAATGTGATTAGTCATATTTCAGAGTCCGCAGGAACTACGTCACCCAGAAGTTAGTACTCTATCCTTACCCGTTCGAGCCACACAAACAGTAGGGAGCCTCTGCAGACTTTCTTTCTTCCACAATGCAATAATTGTTTGCGCTCTACCTGTTTAAACCCAGATCTACGTGCTCAACTCACAACTTCCTCAGAATCATTCACATTTCCAAAACTCAGTTAGGTTTCGCACATAAGGAACTTCTGTTACTTCTGCTGGGTCACCTCAACTATGCCATGAAGATTATACCCATGGGTGGTTTTTATTTAACATTTATTCAAGTTTGAAACTTACATCAATCTTACTTCAAACTGCAAAGTAGAGCTTTGTAGCACTTATTTTTTTAGCAAACTGGAAAGGGTAGTCTTTTTCTTATGTTGAGTCTTGTTCTCTCCAAAACGTTTTTACATCTGCAGCCCTTCCATTTGCTTTCTGTATTTACAGTACCTTCATCTCTCCTTCTGATCACTCCTCCACAGTTTCCAAATTTGGTAGCTGCTTGTTTTTGGGGCCTTAATTTGAAACAATAGGCCCTTATCCATTCAGATGACATTGCTGTGTAAAATCAACAAAGATCTGAAAAAAGTTTCCATTTAACTGAGTCATCTAAATGGCTTTCTTCTATGAACCAATTTCTAATTCTTACAGCTCATGTCCCAGGCCAATAATATTCCTGATTCTTTCTCACTTCCAATTTTAGACATTCAAGACATTAGCCCTGGAAGGCTACCAGTATCCCTGTCCTGTCCCTCCTTATTCGGATCTTGTATTTTTCTGAATCACTCTTTCCATCATTTCTTCCAGCTGGCTCAAAATACCAATAGATCCAGACTTGTAACTTGCACTCTCAGTTCCTACTGGAACACCTGTAAAATGTACTTGTTGTTCTCGTCCTTCCTCTTCTACTGCAAGTAAAATCTTAAGATCAGGTTATGAGCAATTAAGTCTACCTACATCAGCCCTTAAGATCCTGTGCTCTATTATCTTCAGCTTAGCATCTCTCAGAGAGAATCACCCACTGATTCTCTTTTCACTAATGAAAAGTCTCATACTCTTTTGTAACTGGTTTCTCTATAAACAACAAGAACGTCTTGCAAGGTCTGGGTTTGCTACTGAGCAATTCTGGACATTCTTGAAGCTGCCTCTGCAGCTGGTATTCAGAGGTCTACGTCTCAGACATATTTTGACTAAAACACATAATTATTTTTTCAGTATGTTATTCATGTGAATATAACATTGCCATTACAGGCAGTCAAAGATGAAATACGTAAAATGCATTTGTACAGAAATATTATTCAGTCACGATTAAAAGAACAACAAAAATGGGTTATATTGTTGTGTGTTGAGTAACATTATGAATCATAACTGATCATAAGTCATAACTAGTTGATTTTTATGACTGACCACTGAGAAGGAGATTTAAGAGGTCGAGCAACATGTTAATCATGGTGGTCATTCGCAGTTTGCTTTGATTATTAACCTGTAGATATCTTGACACCACAGCAGCTAAAGGAACAGATGAGGGCCTTGCAGGAGGAATTCAAGCAGAGGGAATCCCACTGGTCTGCAGCTCATAGACAGCTGAAGAGCCAGGTGGAAGCCTTGACCAGAGAGAATGTTGATCTTAGGGATGAGCTCAGGGTGTCTGAGAGGCACCAGCAAGAGACCTGGTGGTCTCATCACACTACAGCTCAGTGCACCACAAAGGCAGAGACTCCGGTAAGAGCACATTGCAGACTTCTAAAAATGTTAGTTACTGTAAGTGGGGATATACAGTATACAGTTCCTGAACTATCTCCCAACATAAGGGCTTTATCAATAAGCATGTATTTTTAAACATATGGTATGCAAATAGATCAATATCTTCTCTATAAACAGAATGATCCCTAATAACAAGTATTCTGTTTCTAAGTGTTTTGAGTTTATTCTTTTTTACTATGTTTAAAGGTTGAATATTGTTGTTCAGTACTTGTAATTGCAAGTCCAATAATCTTTACAAATATTTAAAGCAGAATAAAGTGATTTGAAAATGACATGAAGGGACAATCTTGTTCTTAACCACAAACAATAGGAGCCAGAAGGATATTTGTTCACTTAAAACTTTGTTACATTTACTGTAGCTTTTAATTTTTCTTTGCAGTTTTTGCAGACGTTGTTACTCAGAAAAGTGTTCAGTTTAAGCATTCTAGTTTTGATTCAAATATTCACTGGATAAAATACAGTACGTACTGTATAAATCACTTGTAATTTAAAAACATACTGTAGGACATAATTAGAAAGGGATGAGTACTTTTGATGGGCACTGTAATACAAAGTCTAGAGAGTCTTTAATAATAGGTCTTTGACTTTTTTTTCTGTGAGTGGGCAATCTGTGGTATAAAGTAATCCTGTTTTCCTTAGTAACAAAACAAGCTCACGCAAAATTGAGCCATTCTTTTCACTACATTTGAAACAGATTCAAAAGGTTCACTCAGACTTCATGATGTGGCTATAGTGTCTTCTCAATGCAAATAAGAAAATTATGTTATCAGCATTTTTCCCCCTTTGCTTTGTTGAAAGTCCAATCTACAGCAAACAGCCTCTTAATGTATACTTTACACATATTTTAAGGGCCAGCAAATTACTCTGCCATTCTGCAATGATAGATTCATCACAATAATTTACAATGAGTAAATTGAATGAATTGTTTTTTTATTCAGGTTGTAATTTTTGTACAGATATTTTATACTTTCCACTGTTAAAATCAGTATCGAGTACAAATTAATTCTGAATGTTATACTTAATGATTCTTTGAATGAAATGCAGATTCATGTTTATATTTTCTCAATACATGTAAAGGCAAAGTTCTGTTCGAAATATGTGAATACTGCTGTATCCAGACGTTTCTTTGTTCCAGCCTGAGCTATCTCACTTGTGACTTGGATCTCCAATAGTGCAGTGCAGTGCAAATGGGGGACAATCAGAGCTGGGTGGCTTTGAAGTTGTCTTACAGTAAGCAACATTGCACAGCTACAAACCTTGTGTCTGCCTAGGTACCTGTGATTTAGCAGTGAGAGTTGTGTTACATCTACTAATGCCTTATCTTTGTTTTTTTAAATATAAAATCACATGCTGGTCAAAGGATTGTAGTTGTAAATTGAGATAATTCATCAAACCATTATATATGAATATTTTCCAATAAACATGTTTCAGGGTTATGGTATATTTTAAGGGCAGAAAGTCTTTACAACTTATGGAAAATAATATAAATTAACTCTTGCTATATCACAAGGTTGAGGGGGAGATCCTGACTTTAACTTTAAAGTGTATTTATAATAATAATAATAAAGTTTATTTTCTATAGCACCATTAAACGTGGCTTCTCAAAGCACATTACAGAATGACAACAACAACAAAAAATACACAAGATATACACAATGAAAATATACAATGAGAGGAGACAGTAGATGGGGGTACTGATTACGGTAGGATTAAAGGTTTTTGTAACACAACCAGTTAAGCAAAGTTTGAGTCTAGATTTGAAAGCATTTAGGGAAGGTCACTCTCTGATATCTTTAGGGGTAGAGTTCCAGAGCTCTGTGGCATAACAGGAGAATATAGACGGGCTTGGGAGACAGACAGGAGACTTTCAGATAGACAGAATTAGAAGAGCGAAGGTTTCAAGGTGGGGAGTAGGATGTTAGTAGCTCAGACAGGTACTGAGTTGCCAAGCCATGCAGGACCTATAGGTGTCAAAAAGTGAAGAAATATTATAGGGGAAAAAGTCATGCAGGATACGGGAATGAAAACAGGGGGGCATGTCCATGGAGTGCTGGTGGTCGGGGAAGGTGTGGCCGAGGCAAACAATCCAGGGATAAGTCAAAAGCGGAATCCAAAGACAGGGCAAAAGTCCAAAGCCAGGCAACCACCCGGGACTGACAATTAAAAACCAGAGCCGGGTCGGGACCGGCAGGGGGAACGGGAACAGGAACAGGAACTAAAAGCATAACGGAGCCAGGCGCATCCAGGTCCTGGGCTCGCATGATGCGGAAACCAATGCAGAGCCCGCTTAACGTCAGCGTCTGGCTTTAAAGGGAGAACTGAAAAGGGGGAGGAACAAGGAACAGGTGCGGGTAATGAGGCAAACAAGGAAGGGCTGGAGCGCCCTTAAGAGGAGGGGTTTGTGATCGTGACAATAGGTGAGCATGAGGATTTTGAAGTCGACACAAAGCCTGACAGGAAGCCAGAGCAAAGACTATGTGATCAGAACTGGAGTTTGTTCAATGGGGATTTAGAAGCCACAGGGACTACAGAGTTACAGTAGTCAATTTATGAGAAAACAACTGTGTTGATCTGTTGCTTTTCAGCAATAGTTGGAGATAATATAGAATGTAGTCTGGTGATATTTCTGAGGTGAAAAAATGATGTTTTGACAATAGGTTGTACATGTGGATCGAATGTCAAGCCTGAATCAAATGTAACCCCCAAGTTTTTCAGTTTTGCAGTACCATCCAGAGATAGGGTTACAGCAGCTGGTTGGGTGGATCCACCTACTTAATAGTTCTAAAATGCATCATTAAGTAAGTGGAGATACAAATTTGGGAAGGAAATAAATATTAATAAAAGTAATACAATAAAGAAGCAAATGAAATGCTCACAATAATGTAAAAATAATTCTGCTCAATTGTGCCAATCCATGTAAAGCTGATAGATTCCACATAAACTACTGACTTGGCATGCAGCCTCATCCTCATTCTGGTTGATCACTCAGTCAAGCCTCCTGAAAAACATTATTATTATAGTTATCCAATAAGCAAGTTAATCTACCAGTATGTCTTTGGACTGTAGGGGGAAACAAGAGCACCTAAAGGAAAAAAATAGAATACAATGAATATCAAAATGTCAATATTATATTACAGTACATTTTAGAAAGTGATATATGCAACCATACAGTATACTGTATCTACAGTATAAACATTTCAAATATGTCTCAATGTATTGTCTGTATTGCCTTCTACAGGGGTATGTCTATAGGTGAAGGCATTTTATTAATCCTTTAAACCACTTTGCAGAGAAAAGGGTATTCACTTTATTTCATATTAGTTTACTAATTAGCTTAGATATACAGAAGTTCAAGTAAGATGCTGCGTTAGCATGCGTAAATTGCTGACACCTGAAGAAGGCTCCACAGTTGAAAAGTTGTGTCTCTTTTTTCAGCATGGAATAAACCTTACTGATACAGAATACTACTTATCAAGTTTCTTTATTTTGTATGTTTTGATTTCTAGCATTTTTTACTTAATGTCACTTAATGTGACTTTGCCCTTTATTTTGCATTCCTTTTACAGGAGGGGTGTTGCTTTTGACAGCAAATTATGCAATGCTTTTGTTGTACTTACTTTCTGTGCCCAGGTCTCTGAAGCAATACTGACTGGCACCTGTCGGGCAAAGAGCGAAGAAAGGACAGTTGGCTACTCCAGTCACAGTATTACTCCTGTCGGGAGGAGGCTGCAGTTTGACAAATCACTTTCACCAAAGTCTGAGATCCAGGTAAAGGCTAAAACAAAACATGCCTTAAGTAGACAAACCATTATCACTGCATCTTCAGTGTCCCTTTCTTATATCATTCATACACTATGGTGTTCATCTTCTGTGCTTGTTGACACCATGGAACTTGCAACATCCTTATTCTCATTCCACCTGTGTTGTGTGTGGGTGGGGGGGTGAGTTTGCTCCATGACATTTTACCCTTTGTGGAAAAAGAATCACATACAGTACAAGTCTCTCTTGCAGAATCTTGAGGTTTGAAGCGGGAATTAATGTAGTGTCCAGCAGCTAAAAATCATATTTTACATCAAAAAGACTGAGAGTTCTGCTACACTGTCATTGCCTGGCTAGGGATGAATCACACTGAACATATCTCTTCTTCCTATGAATGATATCAGCCAATTTAAAAAGAAATATTTGATGCAGAATATTCACTCAGTGCAAAAATGCTGCAGTTGCCTTACATTAGCTAAAAGATAGCAATAGTATGTAATTATACACATATTTATATTTTACCAATGCAGTTAATTCATTCAAGTTACTACTAGCCCCTATTTATTTTTTATTTGCTTTTAAATACAATATGTTTTTAAAAAATACTATGTAAAATATATTTTTAACAGTCGAAATCTATAATTAACTTATCTGCTTAGTAACTACTATTTATACTGTATACTGTACAATTACTAATAATTCTGTATACTGTATGTACTTAAAGAAACAAAACATTATGTTGGTGTTACTGTACAGTATAATTGGTGCAGAAAAGCACTAAGGAGGTGATAAACACTTAATTTTTATTATTAAAATAAGAATCATGTGACAGCCACACATAGCTGGAAGTTTTACAGAGAAATGAAGTCCTGCATAAAATGATTTGAAAAAATAAAAGCAGCATTTCACATTGCTTTTCCCTTTTTCTGCCTGAGAACTTACACATGTCAAATGTCATCATCTGAACTTATAAACAATTGCTGGCTCTCCACAACTATGTCCTAGGGTAGGCTCCATCACCCCCATGATCTTATATTGGATAAAGTGGTTATTAAATGGGTGGATTTGATGGTTGTTTTTTTTGCATATTTATGCAAGAGTGAGCAACAATGACTTGGTAATAAAATGTACTGTGTTATTTTATTGTGATCATCAATGTTAATTAAGTAAATTGTGCTGTACAGAAAGTAGATCAGAGTGAGGCTCTGAAGAGGAGTTCGAGGGCTTACAAGGACAAAGATCTCAATGTTGCAACCTCTGCCAGGGTCACACCAACAGGGCGCATGACACCCAGCCAGGGGAGAGCAAACCCTTTGGATACAGATGCAGTAAGTTCACCTTGTTCATCCAGCTTCTACCTAAGATAGACCTGCTTGTTTCTCCTACACAGACCCCCTGCAATTAAAAGAATTAGGTCTACCTCAGATCTTTTTACTGCCCAAACCTTCTACTATAAAAGGAGGTTCCCCCAAAATAGTCATTGTAGTTGTACTTTTGAATTAGCTCATACTAATGCCATGTTAATTGTATTTATGTATGTTTAATTTTGTGCTTGGTAATATATTATGTATTTTGTCATGACTGGATGAAATCCACATTTCAGTTAGCTACTAGCAGCCTAATAAGATAAATGGTTCAAATAGTCATACTTCTGACCTTTCTTTTGTTGTTACTTAATGTTGTTATGGTGCAAGGAAAATGGCACAAAGAAGTTAATTTAATTATTTGTTAACTGTTAGGAATTTGTTAACTGTTGCAACTGTTAATATTTTTCTTTATTTAATCCAGAATTTTAAATCAGTAAGAGCAAATATCCCATAATAACAAAAACATAAGACTGGTAATTTACCTTAAAGAGTCTCACTATGGGGAAGGTCATAAATCATCTTGATTATGTCACACTTTACAACATTTATGAGATACTGTACCTTACAGAAGTATTCAGACCTTTCCTATGATGTCCTATTTTGTGAAATTACAAAATGATGCATACACATTTTTTTAATTTCTATTAAATATGAGTTACAGTAAACATCCACAAAACTAATGAGACAAAGTGAAATATTATAATGCAAATATGCAATTGCATGAGTATTCAGACATACTGTATGAACTCATCAGCTAGACTGATGCACTTACTGACATTACTGTCCACTTTCACTGGGTCACTAAAGGACATTCACTTTTTTAGTCTTAAGCCACACCAGTGTAGCCACAGCAAAGGGTTTGAATATGACTTCCTTTTTTCTTTCGTATTATTTATCTATTCACTTTCTTACTTTTGTTTTTGAATGTATGGAATACGTTGCGGGTATTACAAATATGGTTATTTTACACTGTAATTAAACTAAATAGCAAACCTGTACAAGGGTCTGAATACTTTTACTATGCACTATATAAAACAAGATGCCCTTCTCCCATTTTATTCTCCATTACATCCAGACATGTTTGAGACCATTTGGCATCAATGATTGTTTTGCTCTTATGGTTCAGAACACTTTCCTGACCATTTAGCATATTAGTAAAAAATCACCTATATACCTGCATACTAAATTTATACTGCGTTTTTCATGTGGAAAATTTGTTCTTAAGTGCTCCTTAGGCACCCAGTAATAATTTATGCTCTCTTCAAAGAGCAGTATCAGTTTTTTTACTAAGCCCAGTATAATTTATTCATAACATAGTCATGAATAAACTCATTGCATTTTTATGGAAACTAAGTGCTGAAATGTGTTTTCACATTTTTCTCATCTACTTCTTTAATAATTTATTGACATTATGAATTTAGATTCGATCATTTATTGGAAAAACCTATGTTAACTTGGGATTCCATCTCTACTAATTCAATCTGTTGGAATTCCATATCTACTAAGAACTTCATTAAAAGTGTAGGAAGAATATCATCAAATAAATCAAATAAATACATAAATCATCAGCTGCTATCTGTATATATTGCAAAGTCTCTCTATTCCTAAATAAGAGGCAGCTTTTGGACTGCCATTAGAGAGAACATATATATACTTATATATACAGTATATTATAAACATTTCCTACAGTAAGTTAAAAATAAGTTTCTTATTTCCTAAGTGAAATGGCTGTCAAGTTGGTTGAAATGCAATAAATACTTAATATTGAATATGAATATTGCACACAATGATAAATTGAATTATTTAACAAAAGTATTACAATTATCTTTTTCAGGACATTTTGTACAAAGGTTCTTCTTCAGCAGTTTAGGAAAAAATGCAACACTTACATTGCTTTCTAAACAATGGAAGAACTTTAGCTTTGTCTAAAGCATCCTGAAACAAATATTTTTTACAACATGGTAATTTAGTTTTATTTTGGTCCATACATAGGCAATGCATCGCTTTCATACAAATTTGCAGAAGTCAACACGAAGAAGGTCTCCTGTCCCCAATTTGAGAGCTGTTTTGGAGTCAGAGACATCCTCCACAAGTAAGTGCTCTTACATAGCATCTATTTGAAAGCTGGTATGACTTAGGTGTTTGTTACAATACTCAACATCATTTATTAACTCATTTCAGTTTGGTAGTTATACATCCAATTTGCACCCAGAGAAATTGTAGCAAATTATTAATCGTGTATCATAATTAGATTATGGAATTTAGTTGTTTGAGTACAGTAGAACAATGGCCATGAAGTGTCTAAGGAGTGGCAACTGTATTACACACAAATGGTTGTAAAAGGAGATGGTTTTCTTGCACTTAAATAGGAAAAAAATCTGTTGCATTAGTTTCTGTTTCTGTATATTAGTGTGTTTTTAGTGCACAGCTTTGTTCACTAGTATGTGGATTTGGGCTTCATATTTTTTAACATGTTCAACATACTAGTGCAACAAAATACAACAGATAGGAAAAATATGAGTTCACAAATTAAAAAAGGAAAAGACAAATTTTATGACTATGTTTTCATTATTTCAGTTAGTATTTTTATAGATTCTTGTTAGATTTTAGGAAGACGTGTTGCTGTATTCTTGTATTATTCTAAACCCATAAAAGGATGAATAAAAGGACAGTTCATGGTTCAGTTTTATTTCCTTTTAAACCTTGCACCTTCATTTTTCACTATATTGTCAGTCTTTGTTACAATGACATATTAAAAGCACTAACCTACTAATTGAGATACTGTAGATCTTGGCCTCTTGTTTTCAGTCAGCGTTGTGTTCTTTTCTTACAACAGGAGGACGCTCTTCAAATCCCATCACTTCAGAGGAATTCCACCAAGAAGATGACAACACCACTAAATCTCACAGCAGCCTTAATGAAGTGGTATTAGTACTTGTAATAGAAATAGTAGTATAAAAGTATAGTAGTAAAAGTTATAGTAGTATAAAAGCTGTACTACCTGATAAGCAATAGTACAGGTTTATCTCTATTAGAATACTAGCAACCTCAGGTTTTAGCCTTACCTTCCAGTGTCCACAGAAGCCACACACTGTAATTAGCAGGACTTTAGCAACACAGGTGAAAACTCTTAGGTGAAATTGACCAACTGTCATTAAAAAGACACGTCAATAAAAATGTTCTGAATGCAAAGATGTCAATATACAGGTACAGTATCAGCCACTAATTATCAAATACTCCACAATAATGAGGAACAATGATGGTGATTATTTATTTCTAGATTACAAAAATACAGGAGGGGGACCTGACACAGTCATAGTTCACCAAAGGAGGAGTGACACATGAGATTCTGCTTTGACATACATGCTTTGACCTGACATGCTTTGACAATCTTAACTATAGACTGATGCACTGTAGATCTTAATCTCTTGTTTACAGTCAGCCTCAGTTTAATTATAACAACAGCTTCATATTTTGGGGGCTTAATTAGGGGTCAAATTGTTTTAAAATGTGCAGGACACTTAATCAGTTTTCTGCTAGAGAGCATTTATTTTTTAAAAGTGTAAACTAAAACTTTGAATAGTTTCTCTTGGTGTTCAACATCAATCTCTGCAGGGGGTTTCTAGATGTCGGGGAAGGCAAGTGTCAGTAATGGGCTACCAGAGTCGTAGTGTAACACCAAGTGGAAGGCAAACCCCATCTACTGGCAAAGCAACTTCTTCAGAGTCTGAGCACATGGTTGGTACAAGTTTGCATGCCTTTTAGGTATGCAATGATCTGAAGTGTTAGGGTAAATACTAAAGTGATTCCACTTACTGTGCTGAGGTTAGTGGTAACTAATTTGCTGAATTGACACCAGAAACTATCAACAGCAATCTAGAGTAAAGGCAGAATATAGAATAGATTGCTCCCTAAATAAACATTCATAAAATTGTTTTACACTGTCACAGCTCAGTCACAGAAGCTAAACCTGCCCTCAAAAAGTTTAAAACTTTACATCAGAATGTTGTAAATCATTTGTGCAGTATTCACTCCCTTAAATAAATACAACATCTAATACATCTTCACTGGAGAAGTAGGCATGTTATTTATTTTAAAAGTATTATGACTCACTGAAACAAATGTTGTTGTAACTGCTGTATTTTGACTTATTCTTGTGTCATGAGTATTTTACCATAAACATTAAAATGACCTGAAATATTGTAACAGGAAGGAAGACCAAACTCAGCATTATCCAGAAAATCTACACATCCACAAAGTGATGTAAGAAAACAACCAGAGAATCCAAGTGAAAAGGTAATAGACAGCAATTTCTTTATTACTTTAGTGTGTTTTAATATGTTTCCCCGGCATATAGTATGGGACAGGGAAAAAATAACCGTAGATTGGAGTCTTTCTATGCAAAGCATTATACAGTATTTTCTCTGGAATGTCACTTTCTAATGATGACATTATAATGAACTAAATTCATAAAAGCAGAATTGGATGTTTGAGCAAGACTTGCATTAAATGAATGAAATCAAATGAATGTTTAAAGAACATTGAATATTCCAGTCACATAAAAAATCACTTTTACAATTTCAATGTTCATATCAGTGTCTTTAATTCAGTCCTGCTAAGTATACATACTGTACCTGTAACAACAAGAAGCGTATGACCTTTTACGTATAAATTTTCTTTATTTACTGTACATTGAGCTACTGGGGCAGCAGTGTGGCACAGTGTTTAACATTGATGCCTTCCAGATCTGGGGCTTTAGTATCAGTTCCTGGGGTAACATCTGCATGGAGATATATGGGTAGATTAATTGGTTTCTGGAAAAATCGGCCATGGTGTGAGTGTGTGTATGTGTGTGTGTTCGCACTGCAATGGACTGGCATCCCACCTTTCACCTGTTGCTTGCCAGGATAGGCTCCAGGTCCCCTGATATCCCTGTATTGGATAAAGCAGTTAGAAAATGGAAGGATGGAAGTTGAACTTTACTACCAGTCCCCAAACCATACATGAGTTAAAAAAGACTAACAGAATTGCTTGAGTAAAGTTGTAGGCATTTATACCACATCTGTATTTGTTCTTGCTATTTAAGATATTGGATCTGTTTGCCTCTCGTATAATGCTATTTTTTACTGGCTATATAGTATGAACACTCTGAGGCCAAAAAGTATTTTTAAAAATCATTCTCTAATAGATCTTTTAAGTCTGCTGAACAAAATAACAACTTTCTTTTTAATAAGTGCTTTTCTACAGTATTTAGTGGAAACTATTATATTATGATTTTATGATAATACAGGAAAGAAGAGAGAAATCAGCGTTATCAAAAATTGCATCATCTTATGTTGGAACCAAGGGGAGTGATGATGAAGTGCGGGAAGAAACGCATTTCCCAGATGGCAAGGTACTATGTCCCCCAGCAGTATTTAAGTCTTCATTATTGATTCATATTACTTTGTTTTTTATTCATTAATTGGCAGCTAATCCATATTTTTAGATGTTTAGCCAATATGGAAAACCTACTGTAAATCTTTTCTTAGTGGTTGTTGCTCAGAACATTATAGTAATGTTACTCATCATATTTGGTAAAGTATTATTTTTAATCATTTTGTAGGGTATAATACCCATATATGACACATCATTAATCATCAAGGTTTTTTATTATTTACCCCTTGACAGGATGTTAGTGGGGATATGGCAGTAGTGATGTATACTATTTTTTTATTTTTGATTTGCTACTATATAAAATGGTTCATAATGGAAAAAAAATGATTCACATAAAATTGGTGTGGCTTTTTAATACACAAATCAGAATTGTGGCAATATTATTTTTTTCATATAAGGAAGGACCCGATTCATATACTGACCACATTTTACAAAGAACTTAGAAAAGTTCATCCTTACAACCAAGCATATGAAAAAGGAGCAAAAGTTAACTTAGTGAAAATTGAATATCACCTTGGCTTCTTGAATTTCCTCAGTTCCAGGTTGCACACTGTGCCAAGAGCACTGTTACTGTATAGTAATCCATTTCTGAAATATAAATAGATTAATGCATCTAGAGCTCACAAAAACAATGGTAGCAAATCATAATAGACAGAAATGTAGTAATGTAATGTAGACTCCAGTTAGAGTGACCAGACCTACTGTACATGTTTCTACTTAATTGGAATAATTGCTTTTGTTGAAAAATAATACAATTGACACTCCATGCTCCAACAATAACTTATCTATATTCCCAGCTTCTTACAAACAGCTTCTCCTTATATATTTCTGGTGACTTAAATAATAAAAGATTATTAGTACAGGTGGGGTTTAGTTATTTTTACAATTATTGATATAAATTTTACTAAATGTTAGAATTAATTACATTAATTATATGTATAATTCCTGAAACGTAGGAATTTATTAATCTTTGCAGAAAAAAGTAATAGTAGCATTCCAAAATAATGCACAGTAATGCACAATTCAGTCACAATAATGAATTTAAGGATGAAAATGACCATCATCTTGGCAACCTCAATTGTTATTTTTATGTTTTCAGAAATTGGAAGTAATGTCCTAATTCAGATATCGTTGCTGTGCTGTAAAGAAATGAAGTGTAATTTTTCTGTGATTGTTTTTCAAGGGTCTATCTCTGCCATCCTACCAAAGTATTTGGAATTTGACACAAAAATGTTACCCCGGACTTTGAAAACAGAAAACAAAATGAACAAGAAAATAGACTGGTTCTGTTCTATTCTTGGAATATCAAAGATATAAAAAATAAAATAGTAGTGATTGAATAATTTTTCAAACACTCGACCAGGCAAAAATATTTATAAATTACCTTAACTCAAAATTCGTTGATTGGTCTCTGTCTTTGTACAATTATAGTGCTTCAAAATGTAGAATACACTGTAGTGTATGTGAGCGTCCTTGGTCAGGTAATGAATTTGTACTCAATCATGACTAAAATCATGAAAGAGGTGTCAAACAAGTCATGAAAATAAAAATCTTGTATAGATATTTATATACACAGATCTGGAGGTAGGAACAAAAATGTTAAATTCTCTGAATATTCTGATTAACACAGTTTACTTCCTCTACTTCTGTCAGATGCTAAATGAGTCTATATTGCTTTAGGTGACTTGACATCTTCAGTAGCTCACTTATTGACTTGACTTCTTTACTATGTTACTGCAGACAGTACAGCTTTTCTCAAGTGGTCACCGGATAATAACTTTTCGCAATGGAACAAAGAAGGAGATTAGCGCTGATGGAAAATCAGTCACTGTTACTTTCTTCAATGGGGATATCAAGCAAATCCTGCCTGTAGGGAAAGTGGTAAGTTTCTATACTGTATATCAGTGGTTCTTAACCTTTTTGTAAGTGTGACAAGTGAAAAGTATGCGACCCCTCCTCCCCACTCAAAAAAAACATATTTCCACAGCAAACGAAAAATAAAACAATAGTGGAAAAAAACTACTCATTCACTACTTGCACTTGCAGAGGAGCAGAGAGGACTACTAGTCAGTGATTTGTTTGGCTGATGTTAAGACGCAAATCATCTTCAACCGTGAAACGGGCTCTGTATTTATTTATCTTTTTTCAAGGCCATGTTACTCAGGCCTTGGTATTTACCTTGCATTGAGATCCAAAAGTCAGCCAGCGAAGATCTGCTTCAGAGCCAAGTCAGTTATGAGACCAATCAATGATTCTTCAAATCTTCAAATTCAAGCAATAATCCTATATTAGCTGCCTCTGAAAATGGATTTCTAACCCATGTGTCTGCAGTAGAAACATCCATGTTTTCAGGAAGATACTTGCAAAACTCAAGTCTACCCAGCTACTGTACTGTATATGAATGGGAAACAATGTTTGCTGGGGGCCAGACTCAATGGACTGGCATCCCATCCATTGGAGGAATCTTGTGCTCTACATTTATTTAACACCATGGAAACCAGGATAAGATCTGGACCAATCTATTTATATTTACACACAGTCTTCACATTCACAATGAAATAAGCCCTCTCCAAACAAAAAGGGATAATAAATAAACTCACATACTAGTATTTAAATAAAGTTCAAGTAGATAGCTACATCAGTATGTGTAGGCTGAAAGGGAACAAGTAAGGATTTTTTCCATGCTGCAAAGAACAGAAAAGAGATGCAACATTTTGGGTGGAAAGTCTTCTTCAGGTGTGGTTGAAGAAGGCTTCACAGCAGAAACATTGTGTCTCTTTTCTTTTCAGCATGGAATTAACCTTTACTTGTTCCTTTGTAGTATTTTGATATCCCAACAATGTTGCTCCAACTAAATGTCTATACATTTATTCCTCAAATAAAGATGAACAAATCCTTTTTTTGTTGTTTTTAAAAACAAAAGATTTACTTCTACGCTGATGCTCAGACAACTCACACCACTTATCCAAATGGCCTTGAAGTTGTGCAGTTTCCAAATAACCAGATAGGTAAGTTTGCCAGATATAACAAACCTTGCGATGGCTCTTATATATGATGACTATTAATTTGCAGCATTAATAATTTGCAACATTGCTGACAATTATTTGAAAGATATCAAAAACATTCTATATTAGGTCTGACCATGTTACCAGCACGTTAACTATAGCAATAATTTGACTCCTCAATTTAAGACTGACATATAAAGATTTCAAGAGTAACTTTTGATTTAAGTTTAGCTTACTTGTAGATAGATAGCATTGTTATATATTTTATATTCAACAAAGCATAATGAGATTTCATTCAGTTTTCAGTTATATAGTAGCTGGTTAATTATAATCAGGTAAAATAGTACTTACTACACTAGGCCATACATTTTACATGTGCTGAAGGTTCAAATACTACTGTTTGATTGTTTAAGCTGAAAGCTAAAAAATATAATTATATAATTATTAACACATCACGTCAAGTTAAATAGATGTGCTTTCACTACGCTAAACAATCCTAAATATAAAATTATGAAGAAAGTCTTACAATCCCTTCAGATTGAAGCAACATATATATATACTGATGGGAAAAAGAAACGCAACATTTTCTGGAATGAGAATACTACAGTATAGTTACAGATGCAGCCATTCAAAATGGGTGGGGTATTTCGCGGCATACCCCGGTGGGCGTGTAGCGGTATCACGCGGTGTCACGCAGTGTCACGTGGTTAATCGCGCGTCATTTGACGCTCTGCCGGAAACTATCCGGCGTC